TATGACTGGTGACGGTATGTATACGCACTAGGTAGCTTGATTAAATAGGACGAAATTTTTTAAAGTAATAATTTTTCACAATTCACACTCTCTGGAATTTTGAGAAGAATATTTTTTACAGGATCAACAAGCTATAAGTTTTCTATAAATAGTTTTCAGAAGGTTCACAAACGTGAATTGTTGAAAGAATCAATTTTCGGAGCACCCGTTAGCTTTAATTTTCTAATAAATATTTTTAGAGCGCCCATAAGTCTGAATTTCTTTTAGTGAATTTTATTTAATGAATTTTATATTAATAGAAAATGATAATGTTTAAGATTTCATATGAATAGGGGCTTTTGATTATGAGAGACATGGGTGCGTATGACTGGTGACGGTATGTATACGCACTAGGTAAGCTGCTAAAATTGGAGGGATTTTACAAATCATAATTTTTCACAAGTCATACACTTCGGAATTTTGAGAAAAATAATTTTTTTTTGCAGTATCAACAAGCCATAATTTTTCTGTATATAGTTTTCAGAAGGGTCACAAAAGTGGATTGTTGAAAGAATAAATTTTCGGTCCATGAGTGGTTTAATTTTCTAATAAATTAAAACAGACTTATAAAAAACTATATTTTTAACTCAATTCTATAATCTAAAGTGTATTTGGAATATGAAAATGTTTAAGATTTCATCTGAATAGGGAGTTTTGATTATGGAAGGCATGGGTGCGTATGACTGGTGACGGTATGGATACGCACTAGGTAACCTGATTAAATGGGGTGGTAGTTTTAATAGAAATATTTTTTTTCGGTGGTCTCTATGTATCTGGAATTTTGAAACGAATAATTTTTCAGTGTATCAATATGCGTGAATTTTTTAGTGAATATTTTTTCAGAAGGACCACAGACGTGGATTGTTAAAATAACATTTTTTCCGAGTAACTACAAGCGCGAATTTTAAAATAAATATTTTGTTAAAGTACCACAAAAGTGGATTTTCTAATAGATTTTAAAAAAAAACTATTTTTATTTATTACAAAAAAATCTTAGTTGGAACCTGAAAACGTGTACGATTTCATTTGAACAGAGAATTTTGATTATGGAAGACATGGGTGCGTATGACTAGTGTCGGCATATATACGCACTAGCTAACCCGTTTAAATGGAAGGCTATTTTTAAAAGGAAGATCTTTTCGGAGGTCTCTATATAAAGAATTTTGAGAAGAGTACTTTTTCATAGCACCAACTAAGCTTAGATTTTATTAGAAAATATTTTTCCGAAGAACCACAAATGTGGAATGTTGAAATAATAATTGTTCGAAGCAATCGCAATCGGGAATTTTCTTAAAAGGAATTAAGATCAATAGCGCAAATTTTCTAATAAATAAAAATCGATTTATAAAACATCCATTTTTATTTATTAGAGGAAGAAAATCATAGTTGGGATATGAAAAGTTTTAAAAGTTTATCTAAACAGGGGTTTTTGATTATGGGAGACATGGGTGCGTATGACTAGTGTCGGTATGTATACGCACTACGTAACCAAATTGAATATCAGGCTTCTCTTTAAAATCCAATTGATTTTCTATTATCTATTTTTAGCAGGATCTAACATGTGTGGATTTTCTAGTTAATAATATTTTTCAAGAACCACAATCGTGAATCTTCTTTATCAGGAATTTTATATTTCTATATCAGGAATTTTGAGAATAATTTGAGTGAATTTGTTAGTGAATATTTTTTTCAGAAGGACCACAAACATGGATTGTTTAAAGAATATTTTTTTCCGAGTAACTAGAAGCCTGAATTTTCAAATAAATGTTTTTGAACAATCTACAAGCCTTGATTTTTTATTTATTAGAAAAAATTCGTAATTGGGATCTGAAAATGTGTACGATTTTATCTGAAAACAGATTTTTGATTATGGTAGACATGGGTGCGTATGATTAGTGTCGGTATGTATGCGCACTAGATAACCCAGTTGAAATATCAGGATCCTCATCAAAAAACAATGGATTTTCCAATAAATATTTTTCTCAGGACCGACAAAGAGTATAATTTCTTTGAAATAATATTTCTGAGACCCAAAAATAAATAATTTTGCAGAGGAATTTCAAGTTTATATTTTCTAAATAATCGTAGATTTTCAAATAATATTTGTTTTTAAAGTCTCACAAACGTGGACATTTTTTAGAGGACCCTAAGTCATGGATTTTCATAGCAATAACTGAAAAACGTAATTTTTCTTATACATAATTTTTCAAAAGAGTCGGAAGAGCAGTTATTTTTAAAGAATAATTTTATTCAGATCTTCCACAAGAGTGAATATTCCAATAAGAGACATTGGTGCGTATGTTTAATGTCAGTATGTATACGCATTAGGTAAACCGTTTAAATATTTCTTACTTACTTAGCTGGCTTGTTACCGAACGGTTGTTCCATAAGTCGAGCTTAAAAAAGATTTCCAAGCACGACGGTCTTGTGCGCAAATACACCAATTTGGAAGACCACGTTCCAAGATGTTGTTTTCTACTTCTACGGGAACCATCAGTAGGCTCGCTTTTATATGTCTTTTGAGCTGGGGAATTCTCATTCATTCGCACAATCGATTGACTATGTCGATGTGCGCGTATAAATTGTAAAGCTCGTGGTTCATTCGACGCCGAATTTTTCTTTCAAACTCTCCAAGAGCTGCCTCATCTGCTTGCATAAGTAGCCATGCTTCAGATCCATTTAACAGCATGGCGGGTAGTATCAGCGTCTTGTAAAGTGTGAGTTTGGTCTGGCGGGAGGTTGCCTTGTTTCTAAACTGCTTACTTAGACCAAAGTAGCATTTGTTGGCCATCACAATCCTTCTCCGAACTTCAAAACTCATGTCATTCGTTTTATTTATGGCGGTATTGAGGTATATACAATTTTTAACTACCTTGAAGCTGTAGTTCTCAAGTTCCACAGTTGGTCCTAGTCTACTGGACGTCTTGTGCTTGGTCTTCTCGCCGTTTACTGCCAGACCCACTTTGGCAAACCCACTTCTCAATTTGTTCAAAGGTGGCTGTTACCGTTCGCAATGTTCGACCCATTATATCGATGTCATCGGTTGCGTAGGCGAGTAACATGTGTTGTTTGGTGTACAGAGTGCCATTTCTGTTCACCTTTCCGTCTCGTATGACCTTTTCCAGCAGGATGTTAAAAAGATCACACGACAAACTGTTACCTTGTCTGAATCCCCGTTCGGTATTGAAGGGCTCCGATAGGTCCTTTCCTTTAACTGCTGACCTTGTGCCACTTAAAGTTATCCTGCATAGCCGTATTAATTTTGCAGGAATATCGAACGTAGACATTGCTTTAAACAACTCTGAACGGATAGGGCTGTCGAATGCGGCTTTATAGTCGACAAATAGGTGGTATGTGTCGATGTGTTTTTCGTGGGTAGTTTTCAGGATTTGGTGCAGAGTGAAAATCTGGTCAATGTGTATTTGCCATGTATGAAGCCGCATTGGTATGGTCCAATGATGTTATTGACCGTTGGCTTCAATCGTTCACACAGCACATTGGATAGCACTTTATATGCGATGGGAAGGAGACTTATACCTCTATAGTTGGCACATATCGTCTTGTCTCCTTTTTTGTGCACGAGACACAGCATGCTGAGGTACCAATCATTGGGCAGGCAAATTGTACTAATCAGCTGATGCATGCTGCTGACCAGCATCTGGCCACCAGTCTTGAATAGTTCGGCTGGTAACCCATCGGCTCCAGCGTGGATTTTCTATTTAAAAATATTAAGAGCGTATTTTATTTAAGAATATTTTTCAGAGCTACCTTATATTTGGAATTTTGAGAAGATAAAGATATATTTTTAGAGGACCCACAAAGCTGGGCATATGAATTTAGGGAACTAAGAAGCATGTTGCTACATCCATGATATATATTTTTCATTATATCACAGAAAAAAAAATGTATATTCAATATTTTTCAGAAGATCCATAAACCTTGAAATCGATTTCAAAATATCTGTAGTATCAGCATTAAGTACAATAAAATGAAGACATCTAAACGTATACTTCTTGGCATAATGTATAGTACTTTTTAACAAGACCTACAATTGTGATCTTCATTATTTAAGAGAACATTTTCATTATTTCAGAATATTAATTTTTTTACAGAATTGAGATTTTTATAGAATATTTTTTTTCAATTAATTTTTGTACATAAATCAGAAGGCGTATACGTGTTGCTATCATGTGTATGGGGAACCCGCAAAGGGAGATTTGCAAATAAATAATTTATGTGATGACTCGCGAGCGTGGATTTTCAAATACGTGTTCTTAGGAGTCGCATGCCATAATCAAAAGTTTCACCGTTTTTTAATATTAAGTTTTATTGCCCTATTTTAAGTCAATATTGTTTACTATTGGGACACTTTAACGTATACGTGTTATCATCATGTATACGCACTGACCATGTTTTCATGAGGTGCAGAAATGTGGATTTTGCAATATATATTTTTCAGAAGACCCAAAAGTCTGTATTTTTTTAAAGAACAGTTTCTTCACGGGGGCTCAATCGTGATTTTTTTTCAGAGATATTCTTCAGCATACTCATCATGCATACTTACAGACATTCTCAGAAGAATCAACTAGAAAATGTTCTTACAAACTAGTGGAAATGTTCTTATTTTTTTAGGAAGACTCGGATTATTTTTTTTTTTTTTTGTAAAAAATAAAAAGTCCGGGGTTTTTAAAATAGTTTTTGAAAGACCCATATGAGTGGAGTGTTAAAAAATATTTTTTAGAGGACCTACATACATGAGATTTGGAAACTTTTTCTTTAAGAGCGTATACATTTATTTAGAGGTATTTAGGGTAGGATTTCTAGTGCGTATACGTGTTGTAATCACGTATACGCACCAATACTCTTTTATAAATATTTTATATTTGATTTAATCGTATTTATTATTCAATTAATATTAAATAATTTTCTTATGCTACTGTTGTTGGTTTTTTTCATTACAGCCATGAAAGCCGCATTACTTATACAACGCTGGTATCGACGTCACAATGCCCGCATGGAAATCAAAAGACGTTACACTTGGTCGATATTCACCAATTTGGAGTATGCCGGTGAACAGGATCAGGTGGAGGTAGGTAAACATAGGATATGTATAAGAATCGATATATTTTAAGGAGGTTCACAAGGATATTTAAAATTATTATTAAAAAAACATTTTTTGGGGATATACCCAAGGTGTGGATTTATTAAAAAATATTTTTTCAAAGATCCAAAAGGCATGGATTTAAAAAAAAAACTTTTTCAATCATCCACATGGAGTGTTTTCTTAAAAAATACTTTTAAGGAGGTACACAAGGTACAATATTAGCTGGGATTAAAAATGTATGACTATATTTTAAGGACTGGCATCTATTAAAATAAATTTATTGATATTGGTAACCCATTGCGTATACGTATTGTCACAACGTATACGCCATCATGGTAATTAATAAAAAATTTTGTATTTTCTGTATTTTATTGTTTACTTTTGGTATATTTTTACACGTAAAATCAACGACCATAGTAAAACCCTGTGGTTTCAATTCGCATTGATTTGATTTTTGTGGTCTCCCCAAATAGCAAAATGTTAATTAGTTTTCTCTAATAGTTTTTTTCTGTTTTTCTCTATCCTTAACAATAGTTTTCATAGCCGTTTGTTTTTTGTATACCCAGTTATTTTGTGGTCGCATTTAGTTGGATTTTTGTGGTTCACATTTACAGGTTTTTTTGTTCGATTTCGTTTTGTCACAACCTGGTAGAAAATGAAATAACCTCTAAAAAAATCGACGTCATGCCATTACAAAAATAAATGAATAAAAAAAACCATGCTGACCAACATTTATATGGCTGCAATATTCAATATCACATAAAAGTAGAGAAACAAATAAACAACGAGTACGAAAAATAAAAAAAAAAACTACAATTTAAAATTTAACTGGAAATTGTTGTTCGTTTCACAGTTCTGATGAAATTTATGACGAAATAAATTTTAATCGACAAACATATATATTGTGGTTGACAATTATGACCTCAATTATTTTTTTTTTGGTTTATGTTTGTAACAGGCAAAAGGAAACGAGATAGACACATGGTTCCTTTTGAGAATATGCATAGAATCACTTTCTAAGTCGATTTATGCATGTCCGTCCGTCCGTCCGTCCGCCTGTCTGTCCATGTTAAATTGTAAACAAAGTACAGGTCGCATTTATGATCCGAATTGGATGAAATTTGGCTTAGGTCACTTATTCGGCCCAAGGACGAACCCTATTGAAATTGGGGAAAATCGGTTCAGATTTAGATATAGCTCCCATATATATATATATATATATATATTTAACCGATTTAATGTAAACGATTTGCACGAAAATTGGTACAGTCTAATCATTTAGGTCTAGAATGATGTCTGCCAAGTTTCGTGAAAATCGGTCCAGATTTAGATATAGCTCCCATATTTAGTTTCGTCCGATTTCATGTAAATGGTGCACCAAAGTCCCTATATATCCTTCGATTTGCACGAAATTTGGCAGAGCGTAATGAATTAGGTCTAGAATGATGTCTGCCAAGTTTCGTGAAAATTGGTCCAGATTTAGATATAGCTCCCATATTTAGTTTCGTCCGATTTCATGTAAATGGTGCACCAAAGTCCCTAGATATCCTTCGATTTGCAAGAAATTTGGCAGAGCGTAATGAATTAAGTCTAGAATGATGTCTGCCAAGTTTTGAGAAAATCGGTCCAGATTTAGATATAGCTCCCATATATAGTTTCGTCCGATTTCATGTAAATGGTGCACCAAAGTCCCTAGATATCCTTCGATTTGCAAGAAATTTGGCAGAGCGTAATGAATTAAGTCTAGAATGATGTGTGCTTAGTTTTGAGAAAATCGGTCCAGATTTAGATATAGCTCCCATATATAGTTTCGTCCGATTTAAAGTAAATGGTGCACCAAAGTCCCTATATCTCATTCGATTTGCATGAAATTTGGCACAGCGTAATGAATTAAGTCTAGAATGATGTGTGCTAAGTTTCGTGAAAATCGGTTCAGATTAAGATATAGCTCTTATATATATAGTTTCGTCCGATTTTATGTAAATGGTGCACCAAAGTCTCTATATATCTTTTGATTTACACGAAATTTTTCATAGTGTACTGAATTGAGTCTTGAATGACGTGTGTTAAGTTTCGAGTAAATCGGTTCAGATTTAAATATAGCTCTATATATAGTTTCGTCCGATTTTATGTAAATGGTCCACTAAAATCCCTATATATCTTTCGGTTTGCACGAAATTTGGCACAGCGTTATGAATTAGGTGATTTGTGTTTCCTGAAATCGGTTCAGATTTAGATATAGCTTCTATTTAGTATAGGTTGCAGAATGACATGGTTATGGATCCAATTTCATTTTAGTGGTCCATTAAAAATGTGACGTCTGTTAGGATTCATCTGTTGAATATACCCAAAGTGGTGAAGGGTATCATATAGTCGGCCACGTCCGACTTTACTACTTTCTTTACTGGTTTCACTGTGTCCATTAAGTGGCATGGAATCCCTTTTGGCTAGCCTAAAGTAAATTACATTAATAATTAATAGACAAATACACCGTTGTCATTAATGAGTGTCATCCGTTGGCTGACGTTCTCTTCGTCTCTATTAATTATTGATGTCGATTTTTCGGCGTAAAACGTCATCATCAAATAGTAAATACAGCCACAAATTAAATACCTTAACCTTGACATTAAATTTAGTCGGACAAACCCAAAGGTTTTCTTGTGTACCAACGTCTTTGGGACACAAGAGAGCGTATACGTTGTATCAATACGTATACGCACTAATAGACTTTTTAATTAAAAGGAGGGTATACAAGAGCAAGGATTATTTAAAAAATAATCAAGTAGGGAATTTGTAAAAAATATTTTTCAAAGTAGTCCTACAATGTGCGGATTTTCCAAATCATTTATACCCTACAACCCTATACACACCTATGTTGTCAGGGTATTATAGCGGTGTGCAGCCTTAAGAGTTTGTAATGCACCGAAATATTGATCCTAGAACCACCTTTAAGTATACCGATCGTCATATCTCGACTAGCTGAGTCGATCTAGACATGTGTGTCCGGCCACAGTTATGGACCAATCTTCACGAAATTTTGCATGTAGGATGGGTTCTGGCCAATGAAGACCCCTATTGTTTTTGGTAAAGATCGGCTAATATTTAGGGGATGAAATGGACCAAATACTTAATTTTTGTTGGTTTTTCTGGTCACTCCAGAGGCTGAAGTTATCGCCCTAACACCACGAAATTTTACATGGAGAAGGGAATCTGGCCAAAGAATAAGCATGCCTCTTTTGACAAACATCGGTCCATATTTAGCGGGTCAAATGGACCCTGATTTTTGTGTGAAAAACGACAACTTTTGTATTCTATATCGTATATTTTTTACACCTGAATGACATAGGACCGAGAAGTTGATAGTATATCCAAGAGGAGTGGTTGACCTTTAAATTGATACCAATTATATTGTCGTAGGTACTCGGATGCGGGAGTTACACTTAAATATTTACAAATGTCTATGTATTCAGATATTATTTAGCAAACCCATTACCACACTAGAAGCGGGAAATGCAGCGCAAATCGCTTTGAAATTTTCAATGAGGTTTCAGTTATGGTCAACGACAACGCCTATAATTTTCGTTTATAATCAGATAATAATTTTGGGATGAAGTGGACCGAAAACTTAATTTTTTGTGTTTTTTTTTCGAGTCGATTTGCAGGCCACAATTATAAGCCAAACATCACAACACAACCCAAGGTGAAGGGAAGCTGGACAAGTAAATAGAAGGGCTGTACTAAATATTAGTAATATTCGGAAAATACGTTAGTGTAAGGAAGAGGTTCTGTTGACCTCTAATCGGGCAAGGGGATGCAAACATTGCGAATTATTGCCCAGGTTCGGACTAATAAAATCAACTGCAGAATGTTTCAGTTCCGTGGTGGTTGTGTAGGGTATCGGCCCCGTCTGACTACACTACTCCGCTCACTGGTTTAAAAATATTAATCATCCTTATAAGGTCTGGATTTTTTAATATTTCACATGGTGTGGATTTTTAAAAAAAAAATCTTTTTTGAAATTTTTGGCGTGGTGTTTTAAAAATATGTTTTCAAGCATCAACACATGACGAGGATTTGTAAAAATAGTTTTTAAGCGTCAACAGGATGTCTGGATTGTTTAAGAAAAATATTTTTCTAAAGATACACCCCGTTTTTGATCACCAACGCAAGGATGGGATTAAACAAATATATATTTTTCAATTATCCTCACAATGGGTGAATTTTCTAATAAAAATTGTCCAACACTCGGATTTTCGAATAAATATTTTTTTCATGCGATTGAAAAGCGTGAAAATACATATAGAATAAATATTTTTAAAGGACCATCAAGCGTGGTTTTTCTTTTATTTTTTTTTGAGACTTTAAATATAATGATTTTTAATAAATATTTTAATAAATATTTTTAATAAATATTTTAATAAATATTTTTAATAAATATTTTTCTAGAGTAGTCATTTGCTACTAAGTGGAGATTTGGGCGTATACGTATTGCCATTATGTATACGCCGTTATACTACTTTTTAAATCACGAGGTGTCGCTGAAAAATGTTTATCACTGCGTATACATGATAACAATACCTATACGCTCCAATATCCACATAGAAGCAAAGGAATTGCATAGAATTCCAAAGACAAATATTTTTAGATTATTCATCATGACCTGAACGTCATGAAATTTTACACGAAGATGGGGCACTATTAGTGAATGTCGGTCAATAATTAGCGATTCAAACGATCGTAGACTTTTCCTAAATAATGGCCAAATTATGAGGTTTATGGTGTTTATGTGCCTTTCGGGAAGATATGGTCCGAAAAAGCTGTCAACATATGAAAGAGGGCTGATTGACCTTTAATCTGATGTGAATTCTGTTAATGGAAGAAGGCAGATATTATCCTCCATATGCTACAATTTGCAAAATGGGGGGTTTTGGGGTCGAGAAATTTATTTCTGATCTTTATTTTTACCTATGACCACCGCCAGAGGG